CTTGACGCACCTAGCCGTGCCACGGTCTATACCAGACTCGACCTCCGGCATGCTTACCACCTGGTTCGCATTGCAGCAGGCGACGAATGGAAGACTTCCTTCCGCATGCGCTGTCATATCCATACAATCCCGACCTCCGCTCCGGGCTCCCGAAACTCCGAACTCCGACTTCCGGAGCCCTACTCCCCTTCCGTCACCTTCTCCTTGCCGACTCCCAAGAGGTTATCCCACCTCCGGCTCGGACACCACCTTCGGTCCGACTCTGGAACATTCCGGGTCCGACCCCAACCTCGACACCTTCCAGATGAGTACGCAAAACCTATGCTCCCGACTCCGGACCTCCGCTCCGGTATCCCGTTCACGTCTCGTCTCCGGAACCTCCGGTCTTAGCTCCGACCTCGGACTTTGACCCCACCTCCGCTTATACCCATTGTATTGGTTAGCTCATTCCATTTAATTACCTTTGCCAATATTCCGGAGTTTAACCTCCGAGTTCGGACTTTCCGGACTTACTCCGGACCTTGCAACTATTGCATTGTCCATTTCAATTCCGCTATTCTCCCTCATTCCTATTTGGGCTGCTGCTTCCTGTCTATTCAGTCAGCTAGCCATTCCCGACTCCCATCCTCCTTCCTTCCTTCTTGGGCCTTGGCCCTTCATTCCTCCCTTGGGAAACACCATTGAGTCAAACACTTGACCCTCGGTGTTGTTCCTCTTTCCATCTCCCTTTGTCTCCTTTTGTCCTACCCTTGTTCCTTTTGATTCCGGACCCCTCCTTATATACAATGTACCTAGTAACTTGTAACCTCAGTCCGAAATCGACATGAATTCCCCCAAGAGACTTTCCCTCTGCTAGATCCGAAATTAGGGACCCCCAGGACAACCAGCAATGGCACAGCGCTCCGCCTGAGTCGCTGAGGCCGAGGTCCTTCCATGCTAAGTCTCCGATTCCATTCCGGAGTCGTCCAAATCCGCAAGTTCTAACACGCGCTATGGTTCCTATGAGTGGCTTGTCATGCCATTCGGTCTCACGAATGCACCTGCGGCTTTCCAGCGATTTGTCAACACGATCTTTGCCGACCTCTTGGACGTTTCTGTGGTAGTCTACCTAGACGACATCCTTACCTACTCGAAAGACATGGCTTCGCATCAGGAGCATGTCCGAGAAGTTCTTAAGAGACTCCGCAAACACGGCCTATACGCCAATCCGAAGAAATGCGAGTTCCATACGGACACTACGGAATATCTCGGTTACTGCCTCTCTCCTTCCGGACTCACCATGTCCATCGAGAAGGTCAAAGCCGTCCAAGATTGGCCCAAGCCCCGTAAAGTCAAGGATGTCCAATCCTTCCTTGGCTTCGCTAACTTCTATCGGCATTTCATTCACCAATACTCCGACATTGTGGTCCCCTTGACGTGCCTCACGCGTAAAGGAGCCCCCTGGCTATTCTCTGATGATTGCCGCTCTGCTTTCAACACCTTGAAAGAAGCCTTCACCTCCGCTCCTATCCTCACACATTGGCTACCCGACACCCCCCTCATTGTAGAAACCGACGCCTCCGATTACGCGATCTCCGGAATCCTTTCCATTCACTGTGATGACAGAGAGATTCGCCCCGTCGCTTTCCGCTCTAGAACACTCTCGGCGCTGGAGCTCAATTACGACACCCATGACAAGGAACTCCTCGCCATTCATGACGCGTTCCGATCATGGCGTCATTACCTCGAAGGTTCAGGAACCCCAATCGACGTCGTCACCGACCACAAGAACCTCGAGTATTTCTCCACCACCAAACTCTTGACCCAGCGGCAAGCCCGCTGGTCAGAGTTCCTCTCCCAATTCCACATGACAGTCCGATTCCGTCCTGGAAGACTCGGAGTTAAACCAGATGCGTTGACAAGACGCTGGGATGTCTATCCCAAAGAAGGGGATATGGACTACGCTCGTGTCAACCCGCAGAACTTCCGACCGGTCTTCACTTCGGAGCAGCTCACTGCGTCCTTACGAGCTACGTTCCTAGCTGCCACAGTAATCCGAGCAGCCGTACTCGTCGACACAGAGGCTCTTCATCGAGACATCCTAACCTCCCTCTCCTCCGACACCACAATCTCTCCCCATCTCGCTTCCCCCAACCTCCCCAACTCCCGCTGGTCCGTTGATGCCGAAGGCCTCTTAAGGCTGGACAATCGCATTTACGTACCGGATTCTAACGATCTCCGTCTCCGCGTTTTGCAAGACAAACACGACCACCAACTTTCCAGACACTTCGGACAAAACCGGACTCTGGATCTAGTTCGTTGTGATTATACCTGGCCGGGCATCCGTAACTTCGTCAAGAGTTACATATCCTCCTGCACTTCGTGCGCCCGTGCCAAGGTCCCCCGTCACAAGCCTTACGGCTTACTCAAACAACTCCCCATCCCTGAACGTCCTTGGAACTCCATCTCCATGGATTTCATCGAACAGCTACCCTCCTCTTCCGGATTCACTTCCATCTTGGTCGTCGTGGACCGCCTGTCCAAACAGTGCATCTTCATCCCTACCCACGATGCCATCACCTCTCCGGAACTGGCCAAGCTCTTCCTCCTCCATGTATTCTCCAAGCACGGAGTTCCATCCCACGTCACCTCCGACAGGGGTCCGGAGTTTGTCTCTCATTTCTTCCGTTCACTTGGTAAGGCCCTCGACATCCGCCTCCACTTCACCTCCGGTTATCACCCAGAAGGAGATGGTCAGACCGAATGGATGAACCAGACGCTCGAGCAGTACCTGCGCATTTACAGTAACTACCAGCAGGACAATTGGTCCGAACTCCTGCCTCTCGCAGAGTTCGCATACAACAACGCTCCGAATGCCACCACGGGCGTCTCCCCATTCTTTGCCAATGAGGGCTACCATCCGAACATCACCGTTCACCCGGAGCGAGACCTGACATCGGTACACGCCCAAGAGTACTCCGTCGACCTCAACTCCCTCCACCACTTCCTTCGCGAGGAAATGCATCTCGCTCAGATCCGTTACCAGGGCCTGGCAGACTCTCGACGGAGCCCTGCCCCAGCTTTCGAAGTAGGAACCTCGGTCTATGTAAAGGCCAAGTACTTCCGTTCCACTTGACCTTCCAAAAAGCTCTCCGAGAAAAACCTCGGCCCATTCGAGATCATCGCCCGCATTGGAACCCACTCCCTCACTCTCCGCCTGCCGGAAAACATGTGAGCCATTCACCCGGTATTCCATGTCTCGCAGATCGAACCATCCGTCCCGAACACCATTCCGAACCGCCACCAGCCACCTCCACCTCCCGTAGAGATCGAAGGCGAGATGGAGTTCGAGATCGAGGAAATACTCGACTCCAAGATCGACCGACGTAGACGCAACAAGCTGCTCTACTTGGTCAAGTGGCTAGGCTATGAAGGGACCGATGAGGAGACACAATGGCTCCTTGCCGGTGAACTCGATCACGCCTCCGACCTCGTCGAAGCGTTCCACTCTCGGTATCCAGCGAAGCCTGGACCCGAAGCTCCTTAGGAACCCCGACTCCTCTCCCATTTCTCCTTTCCCCTCCGCTCCTCACTTCCGTTTTCATTTTTATTTCCTCATTTGCTTTTCTTCCTGTAAGTGCAGCTCCCCTCGTCTTACTAATTCTGGGCCTTCAAGGGTTCAGGCCTAAGAAGGGGATACTGTCATATCCATCCCTGGCCATCGACTTCCGGTCCCTCCGATTCCTCCGTTCCAACTCCGCTCCTCCCTCACTAACCTCGGAGCCCCCATATTCCGCAATCCTCTCGGCACCCCTTGATGGTCACCACCCCCTCATTTCAATTTATTACCTACGCCTCCCTAAGTACGGAGCCCCGAAGACTTCCGGACAGCTCCGACGTCCGCTAGCGCACCCCCGCCTCTGCTGGGCAATACACTCGCCTGCCCTGCAGAGCCCACCTTCGGGCCTATCCCTCCTTTCCGTTTCTGGGTTATCACCTGCCTTCCCGCTAACCCCGCGAACCGACTCGTCGGTAATATTCAGTCGGCTAATGTTAAACCCCGTCAGCTCCGCTCCGTTCGGCTCCGCCAATTGCGGACCCGTCTCCGCTGTAACCATATATATATCCCACTTGTACATAGGTTACACCCCAGTAGTAAAATCAACTAGAGTTACCCCCCTAGGTTCTAATTGCCAGTCAGTAAGTTAGGGCACGGACGTGTCACTAGGCACAGCACTCTTGGCAGAAGTCGCTGAGGCCGAAGCCCTCCGCTACGGAGACATTCCTTCGTCTCGAATCTGGTCTCTGACAGCATGCATAAATACTAAAAATTATATTCTGCAACCTATGTACAACTCATTACAACTTAGTGTGGGAACATCACATGTTGCAAGTTGTACCAGTCGCTCGACAGATTTCAGAGGCAACATAAGTTGCAGCTAAACCTCAGAGAAATCATGTGAGCAACTGGGAAGGAGTCTGGTTCAACATGCCAGCTGCCTGAAAGGTTATCTTGTTTTGGGGATGGTACATTCTGTTCCCCCGTTTGCCTCAGGCCTCAGTTAGTCCATCTAAGTATACGCTTTGATGGGCTGTATATTAATGGGGTAGAAGTAAAGGCTCATCCACCTTTTACAGCTACCCCAAGGGTTTATATACATTCTAATGCATTCTCAGCACAAATAAATAGAGAAGCTTCTGCAATGCTAAATTAGTGTCGCGACATAATTATTAGACAACACAACATCAATTGATGTTGTGGGTGGAATATAGACATGGGCTGGGGCCTCACATCCTCCTCCCTTGTGATATTAAATTGCAGACAGGGTACAAGCATACTGTACTGGCATGACCAACAACCGGTCACGCGTCACGCTGACCCTGCTGGTTGGCATTTTTTTGGAATTTATCATGCGTCACACAGGCCTGCCGGCCCAATGTCCGGTGTCACACACTTTGAGTAGATCCAGTGGCTGTGCAAATTTTCAATTCAAAATTTCCAAAAACCAGCAACTACATCATTAAAAGCGGTACCCTTCCATCTCCGTCTCCAGGTTTCTTGCCTGTTTAAGCCGCTTACCCCATCCCAACTCACCACTACCAACTTCAGACCCAACTACCACAGTGAATTCTCCAATGGATTCCGCATTGTCCTCTTCAGCAGCATTCCAACCCAACTGAAGGCCACTGTTCATGTCGGCAAGGCCATCAGGCAAGGTTCCGGTGTCAAGATGTTCATAATCTTCCTCCAACATCACCTCCACATCATCCTCCATGGCTTCTGAGAACTGTCCTTCATGTACCACCATAGCAGAGTTAGGATGAATCCCACTGTCACCAGTAGGATGCTTGCATGGCATGGCTATGGCTTGAGCAAGGGCAGGGTCCTGTTGCGGAAGATCGTTGAGAACAGCCCGTAGCAAGGGAGATGTAAGGCTAGTCTGCGAAAGATTGAATTCGCCCGAACAGTGCAGTTCAAAAGCCTATAAGATATTAGATGTGGTCACATTATTAAGTATACTGGAAGCCGTAACTTGCCTTCTGGATTCATTGAGGGTTATTTATTGAATAGTACACATCAACCAGAGTTGCAGGAACACGGTCTCTGAGTGTTCCAAGCCTTGTGTCAAGCAAGATATTGCATGGGCCAGCACCTCCCTGCAATTGAGAGTAGACTTCGCATACGATAGCGGTTTGTTGTGAATGCTTCACAGTAAGCTTAAGCATGCATTGAATACCAACATCACATGGTTGCCAAAGGCCCGTGCGGCCTCCAGGGATGTAATCAAGGATAATCCAATGATAGTTGTTGAACATCCAAGTTCGGAACTCAAGGGATGCATGAACGGACCAGACGTTGAGTTGCCAGATGCATTCTTGTAGCGGATCAAGCGACAGATGCTTCTTCTCAGCAGTGAAGTATGGGACAAGAATATTAATAACAAATGACTTCATTGTCCCCAGATTTGCCCAGTAATTGTCAGTGCCCGAGAACTCAAAGAAGAATCCAAGTCGAGTGGCTTCATCGTGGGAGAGTGAGTTTGCGCTAGGGAGACTAGCCTTAGTTTTCCCCTTAAAGATCGCCTGCAGAAATAGCCACATTGAGGGTGAATGCTTGCTTCTCATCCAGGCCAACGGTAGAAACTTGTTGAGACCCTTTCCGTTTGTAAGTTGAATCTGAGCCTTGCTGGTAAATAACTTGTGTTTGATCAGAGTTGACTTGCAGATTACCCAGAATTGAATAGTGACGGACAGAGTATGCATGGTGGAGGAGTGAGGCATGAAGCTGATATTGGGCATTGGTGGGGATTTTCTTGGAGGCATGTGTTGCTCGACGCAATGTCCAGTTCATCCCCTCAGCAATAAACTTCTGAACCCACTTTGTGCTTGCAGCAAATATACTTCCATCTCTCTTGATGACAGTCCTGAATATCTCAGGGTGAGTGTACTGGATATGCGCAACAATCACACCATGGATCTGGTGGACATCAAGAGCAGCGCCTGCCTGTCGAATGTTCAATAGCATCTGTTTGATCTTGTCGATCATTTCTGGGTAGGATGGCTACATCATTTATGTGAGTCCAAATCAGTGTTAAACGCTAATCATCCACTAACCAGCACTCCTTTTCGAGTGATAGAGCCACCTGGGCAGTTTCCCTTCGCAACCTTTGCAAGCACAGCTGTCAACCAACATGGCCATGACCCACTCCGATCAATCCACTTCCCCACTACATCAGCCCTTAGTAGATGGAATAACTTCCAACTCCTTCTTTGACAACCTTTCACTATCTTTGTCAGGCTCATCTCCTGGCCGACTGTTTCCGCTACCTCACCAATTATCGTCCAGAACATTGGTTGGAACCAGTTGGTAGCTACTGAAAACTTATGAACTCTCTGCCTAGAGAGCTTCAGATAGTATGTTCCTTTCTGCTGCTTATGTTCCTTTAGCCACTGCTGAATCGCCCTTTTTGGTCTGGACATCTCAGCAACTATGGATTCTCTGTTTCAGGGTGTGGCCTGAGACGTGAATATCAGGCATTTTTTGTGCCACTGTCACGGCCGTGCATTCCGGCCTGTTAGCCGCCCGTCCCGATGCCGCCCGAGCCCATTCCCACTATGCAAGCGTGAGCGCGAGCCCTGGCCTCAGCCCTATCCTCCCTGAGGACTCCCTGCTCACTCCCCCGCTTGCCCCTAGGCTCCCCTGCACCTGGCCGACTCCCCCACAGCCACACCGACCTTCCCACCCTGAGTCCGCCTCCGGCACCGTGACCAGTGTGACTCCTCTACCCCGCCACTTGGCTCCTACAGGGCCGCTACCATTCCCGTGCCCGACTCCGGCCCAACTCCGAGTCCAGCGCCACTAAGATACCATCGCCGCTATCGCGGCCCTACGCTCTTTCCTTTATTTATCTGTTATTGTTTGTTTTGACCCTCGGTCATTGCCGGCCGCTATGCAGCCAACCCCGCTCCTTATCCTTGTTTGCTTCCGGACCCTTCGGCCTTCGGCCCGGGTCCGCTTCCATTCATTTCTTCCTCCTATATATATCCTGTATACTACATTATAGTACTTTAGCTCTAATATCGATGTGACCACGACCCCTAAGTCCTGACCCCAACAAGGCAACCCCAGTGAGTCTGAAATGAGGGCCAAGAGACAGCTAGGGGGCACAGCACTCCCTTTAGAGTTGCTGAGGCCGAATGCCCTACCCTCGGGCCTTGTCTGAGGCATCGCGGCCATCGCGGCCTATAGCGGCCCGCATCGGCGACCTTCGGTGCCGACCCCGGACCAGTGTCTAACAGCCACATGTAAGTCATCTATACACACCTGTCTCTCTGCTGCCAGCCTTGCACGGCGTTGCTGCTGTCTTATAGTAGCTAGCTCCCGTTGCCACTGCTGCTGCCTCATTTTCTTGAGTCGTGCGGCCTTCTGCAGTTCTTGGGTTCTCTCATTCATGTTTTCAAGTTGGGCCAAGGTTTGTTCATGGTATTCTTTGTGGGTTATTCGGTGGAAGTAGCAGAACAGTCCAGTCTTTCCATCCTCCATAGGATCCCCCAGGCTCTTTTTCCTACGTGATTTATGGCTGAAGGCTGGAGGCTCCAAGTGCAACTCCTCACTGGGTGGCATAAGGTGAGTTGTATGCTAGCGTGCCAATTAGTAAGTTTGATTCGCTCTTCTTTGGCTTGTTTCACTCACGGTTTTTGTGTGACAATCAAGAATATTATTTAAAAAGTTGACTCATAGGTGAGTTGCATCACTGTCTGTGTGAAGTGGATATTGGGTCGGGAGGAGATGGTTTGCTAATGCATTCAATGCAAAAAAACTGCAAGATGTGGCATCATTTTGGTATGCCGTTGTGAGTGAAACAACTTGGAACAATATCACTGGCTTATTTGAACACAAATAGGATGCATTCAACCACCATTGAATAATCCCTGTAGCTTCCACTGTTACTTTTGATGGACCAGTATGGAGGGAGTTGGCAAGATAGATGGTGGAGTCTTCCGAACTGATTATGAAGGAAATCCAATGGTTTTGATTAACATGAACGACGCTGCCACAGTGAGTGATCACTCCAGATATGAGTTCACCTCCAAGGTGACGGAGTCCTTTGTATGTTGGAAGGTGCTTGTAAGTGCCCAGAGTAGTGTTTCCCTGAGAGGCACATGCAGCAATGTGTTGGGTTTCAAGCGGAGACATGAGCCGGACCATCGGGTTTGTCATTTCCACATTGCTTGCAAGACCTCGATGTGGTGAATGATATCAGTCGTGACTAGGCATGAGTTGGAGAGATATCGCATCAAGATGCCAATACCACTCCTTCCAATGCTCGAAAACCCTCGGATTTCTTCATTCCATTGGCATGAGGTAAGTCTCTGCAGAGCTGCCTTTATGGCTGACCACTGACTATGGCACTGCACTGCCAAATCCCCCGCCTGCTGAAGTGAGTCTTTCCAAAGGCTCTGGAGATCCCATAGATGGAGGTGAATTCTCCAGATTTCAAGGATAATTATTGGGACGTGGCAAGAGCCAATCTCAACTGAGGTAAGAAGGCTCTCATCATCCACATCCAACTTCGCAATGAGCTTCTTCATATTAAGTGGGCTAGGATGATCCACCGAGTGAACGTCACCTTCTGAGAGGATTTCCATAGTTGGTGGTTTGCTACTGAGGTGTGAGCTTGGGTTTTTTATGCGAGTTTGAACAGGAGGGAGATGAATTCCCTGATTGACAGGGTTTCGTGGGGGAAGTAGCGTCCAATGAGAAATATAGGGGTATTGTTGTATGTGATAGTTTCTCCAGCACAAGCCGCAATATGGCTGGCAAGCACAAATCCATCCATAATACCGTGCAGAAAATTTGGATGCATAGACATGAGAATTTCCATTTCAAAATTCAAATATTATCAAATTCTCTCGGATATAAAACAGAAAACCTGTTGTCTGGGCACACCCGGAGGGGTTGTGTCACACAGTTCTGGCCTCGGCCTGTTGGCTGTCACGCATCACTCAAGCTTGCCGGTCGGATGTCTGGTGTCACGCTCCAAACTGGATGATGCGTGACCGGTTGTTGGTCATGCCAGTACAGTATATACACAAGGGGAAAACAAGCATTTTAAGGAAATAAAATTTTGGTGTTCTACATACGAAAGATGTATGCAAACGGGGGCACACTCATTGCAGGAGGCTATAATAGTAGTTTGTAGGCGAAGCCCACTTAGAGTTTCTCCTGGAACATATGCACCCAGATCTTGATGACAGGGTTGTTGAAAGGTATCTTACTAGTTTGGGGACAGTAACGTTCCGTTCCCCTGTTCGCCTCAGGCCTCAGAAGTCTGTCTAAGTATATGCTTGAGTTTGCTGTATATTAATGGGGTAGAAGTAAAGGCTGATCCGCCTTTTACAGCTACCCCGAGGGTTTATATACAATCTTATACATTCTCGGCACAAATAAATAGAGAAGCTTCCGCGATGCTAAATTAGCGTCGTGACATAATTATTACACGACACAACATCAACTGATGTTGTGGGTGGAATATAGACATGGGCCAGGGCCTCACATCCTCCTCCCTTGCGATACTAAATTGCAGACAGGGTACAAGCATATATACACAAGGGGAAAGCAAGCATTTTAAAGAAATAAAATTTTAACGTTCTACATATGAAGGATGTATGCAAATGGGGGCACACTCATTGCAGGAGGCTATAATAGTAGTTTGTAGGCGAAGCCCACTTAGAGTTTCTCCTGGAACATATGCACCCAGATCTCGACGACAGTGTTGTCGACGATGAAACGACTTTCTCGTCGTTGTGAGTTTATTAAATACCATTGTCCACCATGACGATGTTGACAGTGCAGGTC